GCACTAGCACCTGTTATTTTGTATGCAAGGAAGAGTATACAAATCTCTCAGCACCTCTGATGTCATTGTGTATTAGCAGCTCATGCTAGAGAGCATTCCTTGTACTAAAATACTTTCATACTAGGCTACTTACGTCAGTTAGAAATGTAGGTTGAGTTCATTCAGTCTCTTATCTTTGTTAGGAACATGTCCCTGCCATCTGCATTGCAAGACTGTAAATATCATTACCCTTTCTAAACAAATCAGTGTATTCTCTGGATCAGTTGTCACTGTTATGCCCAGGGGTTGCAGGATGATGTTAGTTTTGCTATCTGTAGAACAAGGCAGAATTGCTCAGCATATGCTCAGCAGATTGTGTTTGTCTTAGCGAGCTTTTCTGCTCATTGCTGAGGATCAGGGAAATATAAATAGCCAGGAAAAGGAACAAAAAACTCTGAAACACTCTTATGAATTTAATTTGCTGAAATCTGTTCAATCGCTTGAGTTCGGCTGAGATCTGCAAATTCCAATCTAGATTAATTTTGCTGGGGAATGTACTCATTTTGGCCAGGTCATGAATGGAGCATTGATATCCACACACATACAAACAAGAAACGAAATGCATTCTGAATACCATATTGAGAATTTTGCTTCTATTTGCAGATCAACTGATTATGGCAGCACTTATGAGAGGCTGAATGATAAAGTGGGAGTCAAGACTGTTTTGAGTTACCTCTACGTCTGCCCCACCAACAAGAGAAAGGTAAGATGCCTACAGCCTCTTATTCTCTGTTTTCTTTCCTTTGAGAGACTCCGTGTTCCCCTACTTCAAATAAAGCCAGTTATTTTGAATTATTTCTTTATTTTTCTGCTTTCCAGCAGCCTATAAAAAGATACTAAAAGGCATTAAAGGAGTGACTAACCTGGGCTGCGTTTCCCAAAAGCATCGTAAACTTAAGTTGATCGTAGCACTGGTTTCAATGGGTGTACGATGTACTTAAGCTTACGATGCTTTTGGGAAACACAGCCCAGAACAACGTGGAGCAATTCTGCTTAGAATAATGGGCCAAAATCACACCTAAAAAGTGTAGAAAGCTGATTTATATTATATTATATTATATTATATTATATTATATTATATTATATTATATTATATTATATTATATTATATTATATTATATTATATTAATGTAGTTATTTGTTTTATTTATAAAAAATAAACGTGATTACCAGATATCGTCCAAAATAATGATGTCCAGTTAATTTGATAATTACATACATATTGCTCACCAAGACTGCATTTATTTGATCAAAATACTGTACAATCAGATTACAATTTAAAATAAATTTAAAATCTATTGTATATTTATAAAGCTGAATTTTCAGCAGCCATTAGTTCAATCTTAAGGACCAATCTTTCAGGATTCTTTGAATAGAAAGTTTGAAAGAACATGATACTAGCATTATACTAGTCCTTCAAGCAACTTTCGTCCCCATCTGCCCTCAGACTGTTCATTGGTCCCATTAGTACAATTTCCCATCAGAACAGATGGATGGTCTCCTTTGAAAAGCTCTAGATGTTTGTTTACCTCTGCTTTTGTGAACTGTAAGGTCACAATGGACATGTATAGTGCACAACGTGCATCATCTGAAGGTATTGTTGTTATATAGCAGCTCTATGCACAAACTGGATTAATGCGTCGTCTTATTTCCCTGACTATGTGGGCAAACACAGTCCCATTCCAGAGAAAAGGATTGACTCTGGCAGATCCCATGGCTATTTTCAAATAGGGCTATGTTTAGGCCTAACCTTTAGCACAACACTCTTCCATTTGAGAGATGGGCATGACATTTCCGCAGCTCTGCCTGAGCTCTTAAATGAGAACTTGCCAAGAATCCAAAGTGCTTTGCGTGTGGCTCTTTTAGCACTCTCGATGGAGACGAGATTACATGCGGATGCGAAGATCGCCGACAAATGAGCCTGTTTATATTTCCACCACTCTATTTGTTATAAAACGCAGTTGATCAGCCATAACATGATTAATTTGAGACTGTGTATCCTTTTCCTGCTGTTTACACTGCTCGCCCGGCGCTGACGCCAATCTCATTCAGTGGCAGGAGGCTACGTGTGGGCTGTTAACTGTGCGTTGCATGAGGATTAGCTTGCGGGATGCTAGCCGTCTGGGTGCCGGCAGATAACATCCCTCAACCCTATTGATTGTGCTTCACAACTCTCCTCACTCCTTTATTCAGCTGAGAAACATTTGTTCACAGTTGTCATGTTCTGGTGGCTTGAAAACGTAATTATCTGCTAATGCTTAATCAGTATCTGTCTGACCTCAGATTTGCGGTTTGCCGGCTTTAGAGCCCAGTCGTGACCTATAGGCCTCATTTACACCTGCTATTAACACAGAAAGCTCTAATTATGGGGGTTAATGGGGTCTGTTTTGTGATGTGACTCATTCTGTTGCACCCAGACAACATAATAAATGATTAGCAGTGATGCAAGCCAGTCTGTGTGTTATTTTAGCACGTCCGTAGACTGTTTTGTCTGTTAAGATGAAAATTAAAATGTGTGTAAAAGCTGTGAATGACTAATGAAACAGTCAGAAGGTTGCAGCTCTATAGTACGTTATCTGACAGTGATCCATATATGCATACAAACTATAGAACATAGTCTGCCTTGCATGCCAAAAAAGTAGCAAACTTTTGCAATTTTTGAACTTTCTAACTTGTTCATGACAGTCAGTCCAATATCCATAAATTAGATCAGTAAGGGGTGAAGATCTCCACCCCTTAATTTAATCTCCAGGGTAAAATGGGAATTGCTAGCACAAGCATGTAACGCTCTAATGAGACCTTTGTCAAGTAAAACAGTCCAGTATTATATACACTCTTACAAAAAGTATTCCATGAAGAACCTTTAACATCCAGCTGTTTGCAATTTACTGGATTAAGGATAAGGATTAAGTTAAAAATATTAAGAAGAAGCAATATACTCTGTTTATACCTGTTAAAATAAATAATTTATGGAATTTTAAGAGTTATTTCCAGGTCTAGAAATTATGCTTTTAATATTCCCTCTTATATTCATGTGTAAAATAAAGACCATATTGATTTTGCATTGTTTTATAATTTTAATACATTTGTTGAGGCCCGCTAGTGACCCTGGCCCCCTGGTTGAGAACCAGTACTTGAAAAAAAAAAAGTTCTATACTGGAAAAAAAAAAATGCTGTAGAAACAAATTTGACATAGAAATTTTACAATTACAAAGATTTACATTGACACTAACATTAAAATAACAAGTAAAGTAAAACATGCATTTTGAAATAGAATGAAATAGGATTTTCTTGTAAACTGTGATTAAAACGTATATATATACTGTATATATATATATATATATATATATATATATATATATATATA